TCCCAGGTTTGCTTGGGACGGCCCGCTTTCGCTTTCCTTGCGGGTTCCAATCGAGCGCCTGCTTGGGGATATAATTGGATTTTCTTCGGAGTTTATGGCCTAATATAAATTTTAGTTTATGGCCTAATGATGTCATGTGGAACATCGTGTAATGGTTGCAGGCTCAAAAACGTTGTTAAAAAGAGTGGCGGAGAGTTTATTGCCAGTTCTTCTCTTCCGTTCTACGCCCTTGATATGAGACCTGGCAGTAAATGTAAAATTAGAAGCATTAAATGTATATTTCTTTATATGAATAAATGATTTTTGACGTTGACTTTAAAAAAATCAAAACCGGTTCACGGGCACGCTTAACCTTTTAGAAATGCGCTAAGTATTACGGGACCGTAAATCAAAAAATTTTGAACGAGGAGTCATAGTTTAAGTATAGTTTTGGTATATCAATTACAAAAAAACTGTTACGAAACCCTTGTCAATTTAAATACTGCACTACTTTTTTACTCATTTGTTTGTTGATTGTTAAAAGCTCAAGACAAAAATAAGTAGTTTCCTTTAAACTAAAAGCCCTTTAAAAGGTTTCTTATCTTTACTTTGTTTTCAAAAGAAATTAGTTCGCGACTGTCGTTCACACAGGTCAATCGTCTTGTTAAATTTGAATAAATTGATGCTGATTAAACTTGTAGTGCGCGACGTACTGTGATTGTAGTAGACTTACTGTATTATTATAAAATAAAAATATATTTGTTTAAAAAAATATTAAAATGTGTACACTGGAAATCACAGAATAAAATTTATCTATTTAAATATACACATCTTCAGTACTAGAAATCTATAATGTAATATGTTAGAAATTGTTATTTCGTTTTACGTTATACGTATTTTTCATTGAAAAAAAAAACGAAAAAATTATAAAAAAAGACTATTGAAATGTGAGTTTACAGAGTAAAATTTTAAATCCGTTAAATTCTATACTAGAAATAAAGAGGTTATTAGTTTTTATATCTACAGTTTGTTTCAAATCTACTGCTTTTCGCTGCCTGCAATTTCATTTTCGCAATCTACAAGCCCTGATGCGTTTTATCAAACAAACACTTGCGGTTCGTATTGCCCAGTTGCTTTGCGCGCCTCTAATCGGACGAGCGTCTTAAATTCTAGAACTTATAAACTCATATGTTCATTGTGTCATGTGTTATGGGCGTTGTGATGAGTGACGTGAAGTTCAAAAAACGATGGCTTTAAACAATTCAGGAGCTCTTAATGATTATACCGATGGGAAATTGTGAGTAATATTCATTGTATGACACGAGTACTTTTATTAAAATTGCGGTATTTGTAGATTGTTTAATATATATATGATTTACATTAACCTCAGTTGATTCAACATTTCTGTAGATTCGTTCGATTATTTATTAAAAGTTGCAAATGAAAACAAGTAACATAAACTATTTGGGATGGGATAGGATGCACAGGCGGCTATCGCTAACAAGAGATCTTTTTCACGCAACCCCAGTAAGGAAAAAATCTAATTAAATTATACAATTACCAAACTCAATCAAAAATAATATTTAAAAGCTTTTGTTTCGGTTCATAAATTACAATTTACAATGCAATACTATCATATGTGATTGATTAATTATCATAATATATACAGTCAAAATCTGTTCTAACGACATCGAAGGGACTGCTCATATTTGGTAGTAAAAACCGATAGTCGTAACAGCCGATGACGTTGTTTTTAGTACCTAATACAATATAATTCAACCGGGAGCTTTGATTTTTGTCAATATAACCGGTATGTTGTTCTAAACGATGTCGTCGTAAACGGTTTTGACTGTATATTATTTATATATATAATAGTATTATAAACACATACGTTTCAACACATAAAATCAGAGGGAACTTATAGTAACTTTATCTCAACAATGAAAGTGAAAAATATTTTTTTCGGAAGTTCAATCGCAATTTTTTTTAAAATTCAAGCTGTTTTGTTTGGTGCTCCTTTGGTCTTTAAAAAGAGGCAAATTTATGACATCATATTATAATCAATTTCACGTTTACTTGAAGCGTAATAATGACTCACTCAACCTACTTAGACATCGTTAAATATTTATAATGTATAAAAATATATGATAGTGACATTGGCTTAGTTATCTATCGATAGGTTTATCTTATTTGTATTTGATACCGATTTTATTTAATCTTGACAAATTTAAGGGGTTTTTTGAATTTTTTTTTGATTTACTGTAATCACAATTTTTGAATTTGTCAGTCTTACAAAAGCCGCATAGCCGCTCAATTTTTTTGGTAATATGTTAATATTCTAATTTCTCAATTTTTTATTGATTTTTTATCAATTTTATTGATTTTTTCTTTTAAAATATAATATAAATATTACCACTATATGTTTTCCGAATGATATTTTATATATATTAAAGCATCTATTCTGTTTAAAATGAAACCAGTGGTGCTCCAACTTTAAGGACTGGGCCTTAGATTTCTGTATCTTTCGTAATCATTTGTTTTTCAAAAAGGCCAGTAGCCTTCTGTGTCTACTCTTACTCACAAGTTTTTTTTACACCTTACGCGTGACTGTTAAACGCGCACATAGAAAGTCCATTGGTGCACAACCGGGGACCAAACCTACGACCTCAGGGATGAGTGTCGCTGAAACAAACACTGCTCTATTGTTTCATACTGTACCATATCATCCACCTCATCACCTACTCAATACGTGTGCTTGTAACATAGTGTGTAAATTCAGTAGTTCAACGATTGTGTAACACAATGGTACATTGTTAACTATAACATACTGTTATGATATTTATATTCCCATTGTCTATATGAGCTTTCTTTCAAATAGTCCAGCATTATCAAGAAGAAAGCGTACCATGCATGGAAAAATCGGCAATACTCCCGCTAGCTCCCGGTGCTGCAGGTGTCCATGGGCTGCAGGTTAACAATTTACATAGTCCCATTAAAAAATGCTTATGACAATGCTTACGACGAAATAATAAAAGATGTCGTCTTAGAAGGTCAGGGGATAGATGATTTGACCGTCTCCTACTACGTCTTTTAGGGCTGGTAGAATGCGAGTGCTGGTCATGCAATATCTGTTACATACTAAAAAAATATATATGTACATATTTGCATAAAAATTTTCGATAGGCTACGGTGGGGACACCAAAAAGGCTGGGAAACAGTGATTTGAGGTCATATGAATAGGATATACTTAATCACTATAGAAGACAGGGAGTCAATGTTTATTAAGCTCAAATTGATTCAAATTGTATCTGTATCCGGCTGGGTGTTGAACAAAGGAACTTGTTGATATCAACTGACTGTGAGAATATTTGGTCTAAAGAATCATATGTTACCTTAGTATCGTGAATATTTTGTAACTTAAACAACAATACCAAACAATTGAGTACTAAATATATTATCATAACTTCTCTAATTAAAAAAATAAATCTGTGGCGGTACAACCTTTTCTAGGCTTCAGATTTCTGTATATGTTTCATGATCATTTGTATATCTAATAGGCAAGTAGGCGATCAGCCTGCCTGACACACGCCGTCGACTTTGCGGGTCTAAGGCAAGCCGGTTTCTTCACGATGTTTCCTTCACCGATCGAGCGAATGTTTAATGCGCACATAGGAAGAAAGTCCATTGGTGCACAGCCAGGGATTGAACTTACGACCTAAGGGATGATAGTCGCACGCTGAAGCCACTAGGCCAACACTGCGCTTGCGCAAACTTCTCTAATTTGTGATTTATGATTATAATAATAAAGCCACTTTAATTCCATACTTTAAAAATACAAATTAGATGGGTGTTCGTTTTGTTATTATAGACTTTACGTTAGTTATTGTTATTTCCGTTTCTATGTGTTCTGCAGTATGGATCCCATTTGGTTAAAGGCCTCCTCCTGAACTTTCCATTTGGATCTGTTCTTTGTTTCCTCCATCCATTTCTCCCCTTTAAGATGTCGTCAGCCCATCGCTTTAGTGGTCTTCCCACGTTTCTTTTCCTGGAGGTCCGCTATTTATCGGTATTAAAATAAATAATTTATGCACATTAATAAAATAAATATTAATTTATTGTTGTGAAAGTTAGTTACGACCTTAAAGCGATTTCTATTTTTTGTCTAATTGGTCATAAAAACATAACCTTGCAAATCAATGTGATTAACCTACATTGACAAAAAATCTGAAACTTATCTGACTTTAGAGAATTCATTTATTGGCTACGGTTTGTACTTAGATAGTTTTAATTTACATTCAAATCTTGTATGTTTTTATAATTGATTAGATTACGGTTTCGATGAGTTGTAATCATTTATTTGTTTAACAAAATAAGCTACTGCGGAACTATTTACATATTCATCAAAAACAAAACAATACATACACATAGAAAAAAACAACACAACACTTAACAGTAACAGATTGAAATATTTACAAAAAGACTAACTACTATTTCTTACAGTATAGGACCTGACATGAATTAAACCAGTCAGTTCACTCTATGGACGATTAAAAACGTCTATAAATCTATGCAGTTCATTGATTATTTTCATACATTGTGTCATGTGTGCTCTTTTCGTGAGGTTAGGTTTCGCTAAGGGTACGAATACTCGTAGCGGTCGATGTCACCTCCTAACGTAACCGATGTGACACTACTCGATATTTTATTTTTGTTTCATACATATCTATTATAAAACAAAACACTTAGAGAATATACAAAACCAAAACAGATAACATAGATAAACAATATATATGAAACTGAAAACATAACTTAGTACATTAATAGGCAAAAATATAAAAAAAATGAAAGAAATATAAAGAAAATATTGCTTTATAATTTTTCTTACAGAAACTATCTAAATTTTTGCTGTTTATTGTTGTTCGTTATATTATTACAGGCGCTTTCGGTTTAGCGAATTTGGTATAAATTATCTTAACTATGTGGCGGTTACTTTATAAGTATTTTTATATAAATCCCTTCCAATGCTATGTGACTTATATGAACCAATATCCACAGGCCTCTTCAAAGGCTCCACCACCACCCTCGACGGAATAGGCCTACGACCGATGCCCGCGGAAAGGCCGAAGACATTACGGAAACTCAAGTCAGTGTACGATGCGTCACCCACAGAGCCTACTAATGTCAACACCAACAGCAGCAATGGACAGGTAACTATTACAATAGTCTGTGCACAAGTTTCTTGAAGACTTTCCTCTATGGTATAGAAATTTTTCAATGTTTGTCTTTAAATAAAAGTTCCGTAACTGATATAAACTGATATATAGGGTATCAAAATTTTCCTTTCTTTGTAACCCTAGAGTTACTAGAGGCTAGAGAGGCTCGTTTATCTGCTACTTTTAATGGTCCAGTGAATAAGCTATCGCTATTGCAACTTTGATGTAAATATTGATATATTTTACAACAGTCTTCCAACTTACCGTAACTTTGTTTATTATGCTCTTAATGAGCTTTAGTTTTAGTTATTTTTTTTTAGATTTGGTGTTCTAATATAATTGATGTGTACATAGTGTATATGTGTAAAACTTGTAATATCATATTTTCTTGTATTATTTATACGTACGAATTCTTTAGAGCAATTATTGTGGGCGGACTCAACAAGTTTATTAACATCTCTTACTGATCAAGCACACAGCAATTGTATTAGTTAATTGTACCTCATAGTTAGGAATTTGTATGTTGAGGGTACCACGCTCAAAATCAAAAAAATATAACTTTTTAAACCTTATAAACTTGTAATAACAGTTATCTATTATTCAGGTGGACAGAAGCTTCAATGGTACGGAGGATGAAGTCAGAAGAAGGAGTAATACGACAAGCTCGAGTCACAGTGGCGACAAATCTCTCTCAATACTCAGCCCATTTGATGAGCAGGTGAGATCAGATTTTCAAATTTAGAACAATTTTCAGTAGGTTTAACGTTGGGGATATTAAGGTTTTGTAGTCTGTGCACTTGAACACAGCTACTTGGTTCCGATCCAACTTCACTCGCGTGCATGTTACTCCTGAAGACAGTACGTCACTTGTGAGCCAATTGATTTTTTATATTTTATTCTATACGCAATTAAAACTTTCTACGATGAAGCTAAACATCGTCAGGCCACATGTCTTGAGGTAACACTCAGTCACTTAGTTATGATTACCCTTATATCAAAAATGTATTGCATTTTGTCATTACGTAAGAATAAACTAAAAAAATAGTAAAAATCGTTTAAAATTTTATAACGATACTGCAGAATGGCGATTGTCACGTTTACTAAATGTGTTTAAGTAATTTCGCATGGCCTTGAGCTGTGTCTAACGTTATTAAAGAGGAGGTCTTCAGTTGAATACTAATGCAATTTATGTTCATACCATGAAATGACAAAGAGCGGAAATGCTGGAATTAGTGCTCAACGGTCTGAACACCTGCGGTTTTAAAGATATATGCATAATGGGGCGGAGTCTATTTCATTATTTTGCTTAATAAGCTATGCATATACAATCTTAAATGCCACTGTACCGAACAGACTGAAATTAGCTATTTAGTTCATATATTTATTCCTTGATGACACGTTGTATAAAAGACTGTATCTGTGGGGATATATGGTGTATCGATAGATTACAATCTACCGAATAATGATACGTTAAATTGTAAGCAGTTCGTTGAGGTTCACAATCTTTCGACAGTTTATAATCTCGCGAGATAGATTACAATCTAACGGTGTTTACAATTTAACGTTAACATATATCTTCAGGGACAAATTTAAAACGTAACCCTTTACATTTTATTTCAAATTTTGTTCATTAATAAATAAAAATAAAACCAAATCTAGTCCGAACCTCTCATATTAATAAGCAAAGCTAAGTAGAATTAAAACCTAAATTAAAGTTATTATTAGTTTTTTTATATAAATAATCCAAAGTTTACAAACATTAAACAACTTTGTTATAAAAGTTTTCAAAAATTTGCTTTATTTGGAATGACTGAAAGAGAAAAAAAATCTTTAAATAACGTCGTATAATATTATTTAATGCTATTTAATTTATATTATTAAAAATCTCGTAAAATAATATTAATATTAATGAGATTGGAATTTTACGTACTTACATTACAACAAATAATGGCGCATTGACCTATATATATATGATAATATAGTCGTGTAAAACTGAAAATTCAAGGGTATAGATAATGCTACCCTGACATACTTCTAAAGTGTATTTAATACTTAATTTGCACCGTTGTTTTGGGGTGAAAGGTTGTGTTTAAACTCTACGTATATATAGTACGTGGTTTAGTGGTGTGTTTACTTAAACTAATTTATGCTAAAAACTCTTGAAATACTTTAAATAGAACAAAAAAAAAATGCAATAAGCTGAGAAATTTTGTAAATTGCTTCTGCGGGTTACCGTAGAACGTAAATTATTTTGTGTCTACCCGAGTGTTGCAAAATACAAAGATGGATTTTAAAATAGTAATAGTTCATTCCCCTTTGCGTGCAGGTAGGCAGGTGTTTATAAACTGTCAGGTGGTGTATGCAGGTGCAAGCTTGTCATTACTTTTTGCATGATAATCCTTACTCTTACTGTAGTGCCTGTGAATTCATATATTCATTTTGAAGATATATTAAATAACAGGTGAAAAGATAAATATAATTTACCTGCAAGTTACCCAAGTTGAGCAACAATTACAGTGTAAAATCCACGTCTAACTAAAAAGACAAAATATAGACACGGTACAAATTTTAAATTCCTTATAAACTAAAGAGTTCAAACAAATACAATTAATACAAAAAACGAAACGAGAACAAGAAAAAGCGTACAATACAAATACCGACCGTGCGTCACTCTCGGCGTTAACTACTCCATGTTTGCCTTTACTTGTTTTTATTTATTTTTTTATATTCCCGCAGGAGGAATGGGCGAAAATCTCCGAGATAATGGCCTCATTCGGGAGCAAGCTTGTTCGCGAATCCGTCTTCGTCTCAGAACTTGAACAAGAGTTCACGAACCGCCTCGGCCTCAGTTGTTCCGAGTCCAGTCTTAGTCCGTCGGTGGCGTCCAGCCTGGGTCTTTGGCTGTCTGGCTTGGGTCTACATGACTATGAACCCTTATTCATAGATAGCGGATATGATGATATTGAGTTTGTCGTAAGTATTGTACCTTGAGACAGTCTTTTTATTTTCATACCCAAAGGTAACTATAACTAAATAAAGGTATATATATACAGGAAATCATAAAACCAGCTTTCTGCGTCTCTCACAACAAAATTTTAAGCAGATAGGTGATTAGTGTTCCCGAAAACATTATTTCAGGAAGCTAAGCTTCTCCTGGTTAAAAAGAAGCGTCAGATACGAGAACAGTTTAATATCATACTATTTTTATCTTTCATACATACCAATAAATAAACTTTAATGTTATGACTATTTTAGGATTATAATGCGTTTACAGCGTACTAACACGATATAATTTCCAGAACGGAATCCTGGACGAGAACGACCTACGAGAAATGGGAATAGAAGAGAACGATAGACAAAAAATTCTAGAATCATCGAAACAGTTACCTCTTAAGATTACAGAAATAAGCAATAATCATAACAATAACGTAATAAAAAATCAATATGGCTCCGTCGACGAATGGTTACGGAACATTAACTTAGAACAATATAGTGAGACTTTTAGAAAGCATTTGTATGTAGATATGGATCGGGTTAGGAGAATATGGGAAGTGGAACTGACTGCGGTATTGGAGATAAATAAGCCGGGGCACAGGAAACGAATCCTCTGTTCTGTGTCAGGGGAGCATAATGGTCCGGCGAATAACATCGAGGATATTAATGCTGATCTCAATAATTTGGTAAGTCAATATAATGGATTTTAATGTACCAATAATAACAGTTATAAAGGAAGCTTGCTACTAACTTGAACTTATTTATAACAATAATTCATGGATTCTACTAACTGTGTGCCTTTCTGCTGAATTGTGCTTACGCTATGATGAACTGAAAGTGTGATGAGACAAATTATGACTTACAATATAAGGACGCGCAATCTTATGCGATTAATTATAATGACACCAACCAATTATGTTATTAATAACAATGACAATGATAGGTAATTTCGTATCTGTACAGATATAAATTTCCATTTTTATGTTGATGATATCGAAGATTTTTTCCTTATGATAAACAGCTAAAGATACATTTTATTGAATGGTGTCACTACGGGTTACACACTCAATACAAGTTTATTCCTTATTTTTCATTTTAATTTCGAATTAAAAATAATGTACTCGTTTTGAATTCGTAGTAAACAGATAATAGTATCAGGTAACGTAAAAGAAAAATTTCGTCACCAATTTCAGAGAATTATAAAGCAAATTTTCCTTAACCGATTGACGTAACGAACTATGTCCAATATTCTACTCATGGTATAGCCGTTACAGACAATGGTAACGTCACTTGAATACTTATGCCTGATCGTTATAGATTATTTAAAGAGAATTGGTTTTTTAATTACTTTGCCTGACCATTTTTAGTAATTTTTCTTGTCAATGGATAATGTCATTTAATTGAGATACGCAATATTTTACGGTAAAGGGTTTTATGTGATTTTTTTGTAGATAATAAAGCAAAACGGGGATTAAAGAAAACACGCGGCTTAAACATTTTTTTAAAGTAAAAAAGGGTTACTTTATAAATCAGGTGACATTAAAATAGTTTTGTCACTTTATGTCTACACTCTACAGTTAATTTATTAATTCAACCCTTTTATAAAACATAACTTATTATTCAATTCAACCACAAAATTAATATAATATTGTTTAAATTAAATAATATGAAGACATTAACGACACCAGTTTCCACCACACTATTGGAAAGTTCGTTTTTTTATTATGTATTACGTACAATAAATAAAATAAATTTAATTACATGACTATACCTATATAATATACAAACAATATGAGGACATCCTCCCAGACAATCAGTAATATAATTTTATTGATTTGATTGATATTCACTGCGGTACTGCATATAAATGAAGTGACCATGCATTTATTATACTTCAAATAATGACTGTTGATGCAGGTCCGGTTGTTTTATTAAATTTCATGAATCGGTGTAAAATGGATTTCTTGCAAAAACTAAGACTGTTTAAAAGTTGAACATGATTTTTTAACTTTTGATTGAAAATGTGTCTTTAAAATTATATAGATTTAATGATGATAAACATTTTAGATAAATATATGTCTTAAGGCGTAACTTACCTTAGCATTACCATTCATCATCAAATGCCTAATAAACATAAAGAACACTTTTTAAATAATATGACATAGAATGAAATAAAAATGTTTGTTTTATACAAAGCGATGGTACACTTTTTTATTACTTAGAATATATCAAACAACTTCAAAATTATAGCAATAAATATAGATAATATTTATGTCTGACCTTAACAAAAATTATCTATACTTATATTCTTAAATTAATGTGTGTTTTTGAACAATATTTACCTCACAGCACATCCCCATCCAGCAGATTAAAGTTACCCCACTTAAATAATTTTTAATCACCTGGCAACACCCCGATAGTTCAAAATATATTAAAAGCCAATCACCACATCGGTTAAAAGGGCTAATCCTCATTAAATTGCTCATCTCGCTGGTAATTACACACGTCGGGGTGTATCTTGGCAACCCCCTCCCAGGTGCCATAATATCTAAAGTGACGGGCATATTAAGCCAAGAAGGGTTCACATTTTTTATCAAAGAACTTCCGATTTAAGTAACAGATATTTCTATAAAGTTGATTTTATACAGATTTTTTTATTAATTACTGGAAGCCCAGGGAGGTTCCATTTACCCCAAAACTATAATAATTCATGTGCGATATAACTCTAACCTTTTTAATATAAAAAAATAATAATATTCATTTATTAACGATAACGATAATTTAAAAAAATAATAATATTCATTTATTAACGATTAAAAGATCCATTCTTGGTTAGTAAGTACAACTTAGAAAGACAAAAAGATGAAATTGTTATTGCTATTTAGTACGACATCTAAACTGAATTAATACAGGAAGAAAAATTAAGTTAGTAGCAGTGTTTATGATTTCCAAGTTCATAAGTATCTTAAGTTAAAGATTTCTTAAGTAAAAAGTTATATATACGTATTTGTTTGACCACATAAATAACGATGGCTGTCCAATGCTATAGGTTAGTAGTAGGGTTGTACAGCTCTTTTTTTTAATTTCACACATCGTTGGGTCGGTATGGTTAATTAGTGTTCAATTCGCGTTCTATTCAACCCGGCTATTCATTCACGGACTGTGATATACAGAAATGCCAAGAGGAAAACCTATTGGATATGTGGAATTGAAAAGGTAGGATTTAGAATGAAACCTAAAATCATTGAACAAATCGATTGTTCTGAATTATTTACTTTTAAAAATGAAATACGCCTAAATATTTTTTAATACAGAGTAGAAACTACAGTTGAATAGATAGTTAGATTTTCTATTTTAGGATAGATAGTTGGATAGTCGTTAGATTTCTTTACGTCGATCTCTGTAGTGCTAGGATCAGAATTGCAACGTTGCCTAAAAAGTGTTGAATTTAGAAAAACAGCGTGTTGAAAACAAATTTAAATTTACGGTTATCCTAATTTTGTGTATCACGCTCTTAATGAGGATTAACTTTCTGTTTAGTTTTTTTTCTGTCTTCTTGTGGTTTATTTTGTCGTAGCTAGTTTGACATTTTTGTGTTCTAATATAATTGATGTGTAAAATTTGTAAAGTCATTTTTTCTTGTATATTTTAAGCAGAATTTTATTTTATTTTCAATTAATAAAAATAAATACCTTGATTTTAGTAGTAAAGCAATCATTTTAAAATCGTCATTAAACATCTCTAGTATGATCACAGATACGCATCCATTTGACCAATCACAAACGAAACCATTCGTTCTTACTCCCTAGATCGTCACTTGTTATCTGACAAATATAAACTCGCACAACACTATCTCTCCGCATTCATTCCCATTCAAAGAACTCCAATTCACTTACCCCATCATTTTTATTGCCTACAAAATGACACTCGTGAAGTTAGATGCCTCTTTGTGCCTCACCTTAGAGGCTTAATTAAAATTTCACGCTCGTGTATTCATGTACATTTCATTTTTGCATTGCATTACTTTTGTTTTACACCTCTGAAGTGTGAACTGTTTTGAGTGGCATTTTTGTATTTGTTCCTTTGTCGTTTTCATTAATTAGCGTATGTTTTATTCATTGGTATCGGTGAATGGGATGTTGTTCGAGCTGGGTTCTAATTATATTACAGCTTAGGGCGTAAAATATTGCGTTTTCATTATGTAAGATTGCTTACTATCTATCCATCTAGATTGGTATCTATCTAGATTGGTACTATCCAATGGGACTCACGAATTAAGATTTTTGTTTTTGTTTATACAAGTAATGTATTTCCGAAACAATTCAACTTAGGGTCCTTCAAGAAAAGAGCGTACCGATTCTTAAAAGGCCGGCAACGCACTAGCGATCCTTATGGCAATTTCGAGATGGCGGTATTAACATCAGATGAGTCTCCTGCCCGTTTGCCTCCTGGGACAGAAAAAATAAACAGCATTTTAAATAGTCCAATAGTTGAATTTTCGTTACCATACATTTGTTTTAGAAAAACTATATTCAACAGCTAAAAGACGAAATCAAAGAAAAATTGCCGCCTTCGGAAAATTTGAAGCCTGTACCACCGCCTGTCGTTCCCACGCTAGCGCCACCAGGAGGCGAGACTTTAAAACGTAGTAAAAAGAACAGACCTGCTCCTCAACCTCCTAGACCCTCTGATCTGGAGATCAGGGCGCCTTCGGAACTGCTAGTCGGAGTACCGGGGGCATTGAAGACGCAGTGGAAACATCAGCCATTCGTACTGGTGACTGGTGCTGTTACATATGTAGCTAATGTAAGTGGTACACAAAATTAATAATTAAAAAAAAAATTATATAATAGAAAGCAATTTTTTTCTTTTACTTACTTATTATTTTATTGGGATTTATTATTTATATCTTACCGTTTCAACTGGAACGAAGTATCGTGGGCAGCAATCATTCCCCAGATTTGGGGTTAAATTTTAATACAAAAACTTTTTCATGACAAAAAGGTTGTGACAAAATTCATATATCGCTAGTAGGGAGTCCCTATATTGTGGGTAACTAATTAATTTTTCAGTGATAGATAACAATTAGTCAGTGGTACTTACGTGTTGAAAACAGTTTTTTGAGGAGAAGTAGTTGTCGTAGTCTTGTCTATCATGTTTACGGATTTTTTTATCGAACAGCTTATATTTATGACTTCACTAGCTTCCCCCGCGAACTTCGTTTCTCCTTGATGTGATTTTACTTAGCCTAGGTACCTTTTTAGTACATACCAACATGGAATATTTTGCTATGCTACCCCAGAGACGGTTCGGTTGTGTGGAATGAAAACTTTTAAGGTTTTTCTGTGAATTTTTCTCTATATAAACCTCGGAGTTCAAGTCATAATAATTAATTATAAATAAAAATAGGGGTTGATCGTAGAGGGGTAAAAATGAGGGGTTGTTTGTATATTTGTATGCTGTATTATAAAAAAAAAACAAAAATTGTCTATAAAATAAAAAACATTTTTTTGCGATTTGAATATGCATTTAAAATTTCATAAGAATCGGTCGAGCCGTTTCGGAGGAGTATGGGAACGAACATTGTGACACGAGAATTTTATATATTAGATGTATTCGTAGTTTTTTTAACTTTCTGTGTGTTTTATTTATATTTAATGTCTACGATTTTAATGTAATATTATTGTACAGTACTTAGGATCGACGGTTGTGAAAGAATTACGAGGGACGGAATCGACAAAGAAATCAATACAAAAACTGAAGAAAACTACCAAAGAGCCACGGGATTCGCCCGATATCATTCTGTCTATCAGTTATCGAGGTGTCAAGTTCCTAAACACTATAACAAGGGTAAGTTAATATGATATTAAAAAGAGATACTAAAGTTATGACCTAGATTGTGCTTAGAACTGTCTATATAAATCATCCTTCAACTTTTTGTTGCTTATAAATCGATTATATTCAAACTTAGCTTTTTCTATATCTCGATTCAATACCTTTATTACATACTTGCCTTAATTTGAGGGAAGAGATTACTGTATCGACGGGATAAACATTAAATATATGACAATTACGAAACCCAACACTTTGTATTGTATTTTTTTCCTGATCTTTTCCAATGTTGCTAATAGTTGTTCTGCTATTCTGGACGAAGACAAATCCAAACACAAAATTTGGTTCTGAATTTCTTGTGTTATAAATTGTGTATAACACATCTTTGTTTTATATAAAGACTTGAACGAATTTATGATTTTTTGAAAGCGTGTGTTCAGACGCTTATTTCTTTTTGTCTTAATTTCTTAATAAACTAGTAAATATTTATTTTTTATTTATTGTATTACTTTCAGAAAATCATAAATTAGCTATTCTATATATCAAACAAAGACGTGTTGGTTAAACAATTTATAACACAAGAAATTCTGGACCAAAATTTGTGTTTGGATTTGTCTTCGTCCAGAATATCATAATCAGTAAAAAATATGATATTCATAAAACAGCACCACAATACACTCTCAATAATGCAAATGTCTTGTTGGCGTCATTAAAATACTTTTAAGTTTATTTTTTACTATCCAAAACAAAACAAAATAACTTAATACTTTTGAGTTGATTTTAAAATCTGCTCATTCATTTACTGTTAGGTGGTACGAGGTGAGGTCAGCTAGTAATATGTTTTCTACAATATAAATAATTATAATTTGCTAAACACTGTTTAAATATTACATGTATTTGGTACACGAGATACAAGAATAAATATAGTATCGATTAGGGATTTCCCTCGGTCATCCTGCCAACTAGATCGTTATTTAAATTTTCTTAAATAATGTTACCCAACGAAGCGTTGGAAGGGTAAATATCCCTAAGTTGCTTCGAAGGGTCAACTAAACAAAGGACCTGACTTTGCTCGCTTGATTTTTAATTATGGATAACTTTTCACTTCATCGAAGCTCTAATCTTGCCTTTGTTTCTCAGAAAAAGGATTGTTTTTCTTTTGTTTTTGATGTTCACGCTTAGTTACATGGGTAAATTGATTTTCTGTTGTTTATTTCTACAAAATGTTACAGGGGTATCTCGCAACAGTTATTTTAACAAACACTTTCTATGACGATATATCTATTTTATATTCATCATCATCAATACATCCCTTTGTGGGCCTTAGCCTCCTCATATTTGGCCTCGTAATCTGTTTAGAGGTCCTTGGGCAATTCCATTCCATCAACGCTGCCTCGGTCTACCTGGTTTTCTCTTGCCACCAGCTAGTGGGTTCAGTAAGGTCCTTGGGGTTCTGTCACCCGCCATTCGGTGCATATGTCCCAACCACTTGAGCCTGTTGAATTTTATGAATTGGACGTCGTCAAGGATGTTATAAAGTTCTTCATTGTAGCGAATACGCCAAACACCATCGTCGCAAGCAGGACCAAATATTCTATAATTTTATACAACTACCAATACATATCATTCTCCAACTGACGTGTTTCTTTTTATTTATTTGTGTCACCCTAATTTAATGATTTAGAATAAAGTGTTGTTACATACGAAATCTGTGCAGGAGTTGGTGTGTGAACACGAAATCCGAAACATTCACTGCGCCTGTCAAGACGCCGATGACCTGACGCATTTTGCTTACATTACAAAAGATCACACCACCAAGAGTCACTATTGTCATGTCTTTAGAGTTGCTACTATGGTAAGTGCGAAAAAAATATTTATTTTTAAAATTCAATGTATTTAGTAACGCCTAGCTGAATTATAAAGCAAATGTTAGCAACTCTCTCGTGTCTATCTAACTTTCTGTGCATATCTAAAAAGGTTATATAAGATGGGCACACAATCGTTCAAATTTTAGGCTTATTTAACCAATAATTATCCTACTACATACAAACTATTTTCTTTACTTATCTTTAAATTATGATATTTTTTTAACTCTGGATTTATTTCATCAGTTATATTTATATCATGACGTTTAGGATCTTTGATTAAGATTCAGAGTCGAAACTTAATGCGAAAATTTGCCCAAAACCCAAAACCTTTTCTTTCACATTGGCAGTGGCGTAACTATACCATCAATAGGCCTCCTCTCTTAGGAGAGAAGGAATGGTCTGTAGTCCCCACACTAGCGCTATGCGTATTGCAGACTTCACATTCATCCATAGAACAAAATATCTCCTGGGTCCTCTTGGGTCGGGGGCCCGTGGCATTTTGCCAGCCCTGCCACCCTATTGTTACGCCACTACACATTAGAGTCATACTTAGCGCTCAAACTCGACTCTGAAGACGGAAAGAAATACTTTATTAGACATATCTGTTATAGGTAATTATGAATCTTGCTCTAAGACATGACCGATATCCTAAATCCGGTACACATCCAGGGTTCAAATAAATGAAGTGAATTCAAAAAAAATCTTAAATTGTTTAATATATTCCAGGATCAAGCGACTGAAGTGATCTTAACTCTTGGTGAAGCATTTGAAGTTGCCTACCAAATGGCCCTTCGAGAACAAGCAATCAAGAGTAAAGTCACCCAATCAATAACGAAAACACCACAGCATGAGGTAAAAGAAAAGCCATATCACGGCAGATCACATTCCATAACAGAGATAAAGTTGAATGGTCATCAACTGAAAATCGCACCTATTGCTGCTTCACTATCTAACGAAGACTTCCAGAAGGACGGATCAAAGAGCCCTAGGACTCCACTACTGAAAGCGCCCATAGCGTCTACCGAAGAATTGTGAAAGTAACCCGTCAGACTATACCAATTTTAGTTTTTGTGTGAGGTTTGGGTCGCATCTTAGTTATCGTGAATTGTTTGGTTTTTGGTCCTATGGTATAAGAAATATATACTAAATACAATAAATTAACAATTAAAAAGCAGTATTGGCCGAGTGGCTTTAGCGTCCGACTTTCATCCCTGAGGTCGTAGGTTCAATCCCCGGCTGTGCAATAATGGACTGTCTATCTAAGAACACTCGGTCGTAAGGTCTCAATTCAAATTGACGAAATGTGTCAGATAGAAGGCTGATCTACATGTCTATGACCATATAGAAGTATTACCAATGAAATTAAAAAAAAATCAATAAATATAACTTTTATTGATATATTGTATGAATATCTCATCAGAAGAAACCCAATTCCTTTAAAACCTCAGCAGTTTTTTATTTTTTATCTGTACTAGTAGTATTAGATATTTACAAGAAACAAGTGGTAGTATATATGTTCATTTATTAATTATTGTAAGACTCAAATAAAAAGGTTGCTGAACCCATAGGGTCCATGTATTGTTGATTGTGTTAGGCAGTTCGCAATCATCTAGCATATATTAAAAACACATATGAGGGTATATATTTCTATACAGGATCTCGCACTAAGGCCTAAATGTTCGGTCTATGTTCCAAAGGGCCACATGGGCAACATATTTGAATGAAATACAGTCAGCGGTTCAATCCCTCTCACTTTTAATTAACGTACAATTTTTTAATTCAGTTATAAATTGTGTTTCATTCAAGTATCTTATATAGTTTTTTTTAAAGAACAAATTATGACTTTATTAATAAAACCTAAATCTTATTAAAGTGCTCATTTCTATCTTTTGTGTTTACGTCGTTATGTATAATCTGATTTGGTCGCAATTAATAAACGTTTATTAGCCTAAATTAACTCGAATAATGATATTGTGCATGTATCAATAAACTGTTTTATAATTCGGTGTCGTAGTATAAGGTTGTAAACGGAAATTATTTAATTAAGTTTTCATTTGCCTGAGGCGGATCACCTCACACATTTTAAGCCCTACGCAAGAGGCTACGTTTTAAAACGAATGTTAACAGTATATCAATCGTGGTTATTTTACTATTGAATAGTAAAGTTATAGGCTGTTATATTTATAATACTTTTGACTGTATATTTTTGTTTCTTTAGTTATAATTGAAACAGTGCTTAGATGTAATGTTAGATGTAATTACGGCTTCATATTAAAGTTTAGGCCTAATAATCTCAAAGCATATTGTTACCAATTCAATGTAACATAAGTATAGAATTTGTTGATCATCTTATGATACTCGTTTAGTGAAATCAAACATATCAAATCAATGTTGATTTATGATAAAATAGGAATCGAATTTTTGGTTTTGCTTTCGCAGTTATACGAATAGCGATATATACAAAGATTTATTGGAAGTATTGAGAATAAAGTTCAGTACGCAAGATAAATTATACAATAGTTAAAATGACAAAAATTGTTCCGTTTCATTGAAATTGCTCAACATTGACATAGTCGTATTTCCTATTTTAACAATGAGGCGTTACCATAGTAACGGATATTGGATGTTCTTTACTTATATGATGTGCTATTCGATGTAAAAAAATGTTTATTGTGAAACAAGTATACTGGTACACTTATTGGAAATGTCAAATGGTGTACCGTTATAGATAGATAGAGATATACGTTTCGTTACGTAAAAGTATGTCTATCTATCTATTTTTCGGTTTACTGCAGCGTTACTAAGGCATACATCTTAATGCAGTATTCGACATTTCCGAGCTTTTCGTGCTCACATATTATTTGAAATATACAACTCTCAAACGTAAGCCTATATATCTTACGCCATAACGATTTTATTGTTAAGTTTTTCAAACCTAAACCTATGGTAAAGACATAGGAGTACATTCAAAACAAATAATGACTTAAGATTTCGACGTTCATGTAATGTGATATAAAGTAAAAATATTTAAAAACATTGTGTTTTTTATTAAAATTGTTTAGCCTGCTTTATATGCTTGGAATATATGTAGCACAGCTTATAAAATGTTGATTATCACTATAATAAAATTTATGAAATGTATTATTGATGTTGAAATATGTAGAGAATAGTAGACATTTAAAGTAGTTTTAGTGATAACAGAGTGTGCCAAAAATGCAATAATTTTATGCTCTTTTGAAACCCCATACAAATGCTCACGATGTGTCAATCCGTCTGTCACAAGTGACACAATCAGTCATCGGTGACTTAAAATTTCTCAATATTGAATAAGTTTTTTGATGCGTTTTAATATCTTTACACTTTTTAAGGTTTATAGCGGTGTGTTAATGTTGAACGAATTGAATCACCAAGCGCAAAAACTTATGATTGTAGTTTAACAGTAGTATAATATATTTTTAAATCTGATGTATACCAAAGATATATAGATATACTGTATATGAAGTAGATTCAAGTTCTTTATTGTAATTTCTTCGAGAAATGTCACTGCCGACAAAACGAAAAGCTTTTGTATGTTTATATGTATAATTATGTATAATTTATTCATATTTCTTGCTTAATTGCTTTAAATCTTCGAAAACTCGCTTTCAAGTACCTAAGTATAAATAAAATATATGCAACATCTATCCTATCATTTATTTATAGAGTTTAAATATATATAAACGTAGATATCAAAATACCAATGTAAATACATATTAATCATAAATTTGAATTCAATAAAATATTCAAAGTATATTTGGGTATTTATTCGTTTTTAGATACACCTGATCCAACGGAATCCTGCCACGACGACATCTTAATAATATAACTGGAATATATTCCCTAATATCGCATGTATTTGGTGTCTGACGCTACAAATATAAAAACGTCTTAAACAGAGACTGGGAGGGTAAGGAATAATCAAAGTAACACACAAACACAATTCATACGAAATTGCCCAATTGAGAAAACGTTTTAAGTATATTTAGACTAATATTATATCTAGGGGATTGTTTCATATCGAATTTATTAATTGTTTGGAATATAAAATTAGGGGCAATAGCGCATTAGCAGTGGTGCACATATAGCGCGCTTCAAAATGGACGTTGAGGAAACTGCAGTGCTTGGGTATCTCTAAAATAAGAAGCGAAAAGACAAAAAAAAATAAAGGCTTCATACAATACTAAGTGAAAGAATTACAAAGGAATTATTTCATACATATTTCACCACATTAAAGCAATATGACAAGTTCCATAATTATTTGCGGATGAGCAAGTCTTCGTTTGAAGAACTGTTAAGAAAATAGCAACAAACAATACTTATTTATTTATTTATAAGTTTTAAAACAAATATGCATAAAATTATACAAGAAAATATGACATCACAAATACAATACACATACACATCAATTATATTAGAACATTAAAAGAAATAAAAACTAAAAAAAAAATAATAATAAATAAAACTAAATAAAAACTTAAACCTCATTAAGAGCATGATAAACAAAGTTACGGTAAGTTGGAAGACTGTTGTAACATATATCAATATTTTCATCAATGTTAGTAATCAAGTTGTAAGAACGAGATAGCCTATTCACTGGAACTTATATATATTTAATACGTCTTAATGAAACAAACTACGATTTTACTGATGTAACTCTTGTCTACTATATGTACCTAATTTATTTGCTATAATTCAAGTAATCGAATGGTGTTGAAAACGAACATTTTAAAGCGTTATTGTTTGACACGGTTTCTATAATAAATTAACGAATTCTGCTCGAATTATCTTGTGTATATTAAAAACAAATACATAATAACAGAAAAGATGTACAGTAAAACGAGAAAGTACCCTGCAATAGTGTCGTCTAGCTAGTCCCTTCCATTTGACACATTAATGATTTTAGATACTTGACGTAATAAATTCTACATAACACTTACAATTTTATAATTAAAGTACTGTTGCACAAAAAGATAACTTTCTGTTTGAGCATAAGACGGGTTTAGAAGATGTTGCTTAGCGAAAGTAAAAGTTTTGAATCGAGTGTAAAAATTTAGATAGAAAGTGTTTAAAGATGAAAGGGCTGTGCGATTTTGGTGATAATATATAGATTTATTTATTAAACCAATCATAACAGCTCTTAGACGCGCCCAAAGTATTTGAAAGTTTTAAATGCTGAACCATACAAGTGGCGACATCTATTGAGCAAACGGTAAGTTATTGCGATGGTAGAACAATAATTACTTATTAGCACATTAGGGCATTCGTGGATGAATTTTGACTGAGCATATTCATAATAAAAGAATTAAAATAAGTAATAGTTTTTGACTTTCATGGTTAAATTCTCAATTGCAAAATTTAAGTCCATTTTAAACTTCGATTTGAATTATTCTTCACAATATTTTCTATTGACACATATTGTTGTTTGTTAATTTACAAACTATATGATATTTAAACAGCTTTAAAATTACATTTTTAAGTTTAATTTACCATAAGAATAATAAAAGTAGATTTTTTTTAATGCTTCAATTATTTTTAGCCTATCCACCTTAGAAGGCCGATTACTACAAAAAAAGACCAATTAGTATTTTATTTCTATGATTTTGGTAGCTTAGAACCCTGCGGAGTTTTTAAACTTAGCCTAGAAGCTATGGAAACTTCTTTTTGTTTTTTTAAATTGAAGTCGAATGTTTGGGCAAATCCAGCTAAAAACTAAACTTCTAACTTTAAAACCTTTTTTGAGTAGCTTTAACTAATTTTAGGAAGCTGAGATATTTTTTTTTTATATTAAAAACATTTAAGACAATCAAGTAGGTTATAAGCCTCCTGTGCCTGACACACGCCGTCGACTTTTTGGGTCTAAGTCTTTTGGGACACGATATTCTCCTTCTCCGTTCGAGCGAATGTTAAATGCGAACATGAAAGAAAGTGCAAAGGTGCACAGCTGGGGATCGAACCTACGACCTCAAGGAGAGTCGCACTCTGAAGCCACTAGGCCA